GTCACATACAAATCAAACCTCAGCGTGCTCGACAACACTGAGGTTGCAGTTGACGATGTTGTTGTGTCAATACAAACCTCTGACAGACACTCTGGCTCTGAGACCTACCTCATGAAGGCGTTTCCGCACTGTTTGATCAGATATACTTCACAATCCTGAAGGCGACTAACGGGATCGGGTGGTCAGGCTTGCTACTTTGGATGACGAAATATCGATCTAATGAGCTGTAAATGTAAAGATAAGGTTCCGAGAAGGACATGATCTCAATCAAGTCTTTGGAATGAAACCTGCATGGAATAAAAAAATAAAATAAAACAAGAGTGCTCTGAGAGCACAACATCCCCCGCATGAATTTTTTTTAAGAGTTTATATTTTCATTGTATTTAATGAAATAACAACAGTAGATGGCACTGCATTTGAAACAAATTGTGCAGAACATTTTGTTGGGAGTAATCCAGTCTGAACGCTAATGCCATAAGGATGTAGCTCACCCACAAAAGCCTTATACAAGGAAACTAACTATAGTTATAGTTATAGTTAGATATTGTGATATTCTCTGGAAACTGGAGGAGTAGATGATTTCATGAAGCTCCATAAAACAGGGGCAGTAACTCTGTCAAAATTAGTCGAAAAGAAACGGGACTGCGATATGCGTATCGTCAACCTGTCGACATCTTGTGTGTAGAGTGTCAGGGATATTCTCTAAAAGCTGGAGGAGGAGTTGATTTCACAAGCTTAGTACCCTCTCTCACAATAAGGCAAATGAAGTGCCGTAAAACAGGGGCAGTAACTCTGTCAAAATTAGTCGAAATGAAACGGGACTGCGATTTGCGTATCATAAACATGTAGACATCTTGTGTGTAGAGTGTCAGGGATATTCTCTGGAAACTAAAGGAGTTGATTTCACAAGCTTAGTACCCTCGCTCACAATTAGGCAAATGAAGCTCCGTAAAACAGGGCCAGTAACTCTGTTAAAATAAGGCAAAATGAAACGGGACTGCGATATGCGTATCATCAACATGTCGACATATTGTGTGTAGAGTGTCAGGGATATTCTCTAAAAGCTGGAGGAGGAGTTGATTTCACAAGCTTAGTACCCTCTCTCACAATTAGGCAAATGAAGCTCCATAAAACAGGGGCAGTAACTCTGTTAAAATTAGTCGAAATGAAACGGGACTGCGATATGCGTATCATCAACATGTAGACATCTTGTGTGTAGAGTGTCAGGGATATTCTCTGGAAACTAAAGGAGGAGTTGATTTCACAAGCTTAGTACCCTCTCTCACAATTAGGCAAATGAAGCTCCATAAAACAGGGCCAGTAAATCTGTTAAAATAAGGCAAAATGAAACGGGACTGCGATATGCGCATCATCAACATGTCAACATCTTGTGTGTAGAGTATCAGGGATATTCTCTGGAAACTGTAGGAGGAGTTTATTTCACAAGCTTAGTACCCTCTCTCACAATTAGGCAAATGAAGCTCCATAAAACAGGGCCAGTAACTCTGTTAAAATTAGTCGAAATGAAACGGGACTGCGATATGCGTATCATCAACATGTCGACATCTTGTATGTAGAGTGTCAGGGATATTCTCTAAAAGCTGGAGGAGGGGTTGATTTCACAAGCTTGGTACCTCTCTCACAATTAGGCAAATGAAGCTCCGTAAAACAGGGGCAGTAACTCTGTCAAAATTAGTCGAAATGAAACGGGTCTGCAATATGCGTATCATCATCATGTAGACATGTTGTGTGTATAGTGTCAGGGATATTCTCTGGAAACTGTAGGAGGAGTTGATTTCACAAGCTTAGTACCCTCTGTGGGACGGACAGATGGATGGACGGACAGACAGACAGACAGACGGACGGACTGCGCCACGACATAATCCCCCTTACGCCATTCTGGCCCGGCGAAGGATAAAAAGGGGCCCTATGTCTCCGTATCGCAACAACAGGCTCCTTCCATATATTCTGTTGTGAATGAGATCACGGAGGTACTTGGTGCAGGTTGACTAGTCCGACCGAATCTTAACCCATGGTGGGTCCGGCCGTTCCTGCTGGGATCAGACCAGGAAGGATTACCAGCCCTCTTTTCAATGCTATGTTAACTGAAGGTATAGATCTATATTTACACTTGTGTAGTAAAGACAACAACATGTGAATAGTTCTTTTCAGTTTAATGTGTTCATGAAAATATATATCTTGACAAATATTACATTTCTAAGAATGACACGATTGTAGGTTCCCATCCCAGAAGTTAGAACTGCCCTGATTATGGACCTTGGTTTGTAGCCACCATATCCCTTCTTGTGGTTTTCGCCAAAGTGATAAATGTCTCATCTTCGTGAGGCAAGGGAGTTAACTGACAATAAAAGTCAAGTTTCCACCCTTGGCAAACAAGAAATTTCCAGCAGCTTGTTCGACGGTGGAGGCAAGAGCATGCCCCTCGCATCTCTCATACATTTCATTGCTTCGGGACCAGCTTTCATGTGAGGATCACCCATCATACCTTATTCTGTACCTAGTCCATCTCGGAAGCTTGACCACTGTTGCCTCTGGGTGAATATATATTATTCACTGACTTTTGCTATCACCACTGTAATCTTTTATTTGATACCGACCACTACCATCATATTATATCTTGCCATTGAATATTTTACTAGCACAGTACTAGTGTACTGCCATTGTAATTGCTGTGCAGTAATTTGTGTTGATTTGTAAAACTAGTTAATTTTGTAATACATTTGTTGATTGTATACCACTTGTTGGTTGTTTGTTGGTTTCACACAAGTTCTTTTCACGGTTAACATTGTTTCAATTTGGGAATCAACACATAACACTTGAAAACAACAAACGTTTCAGGAATTCATTGTTGTGAAAACATATTACTAGTTTTCATAAATGTTTAAACTAGAAAGTGCCATACTCTCATTCCTTATTCTGAAAGTACCACATGCAAATTACAATCTTCTGGGCTACACATGTGCGCTTTATGACAGTATAGGTTTTTGCATTAATGGGTACATATGCTTTAAAATTTCTTTGCACCGTGTAGGTCCTCTGGATCAAAGCTATCTTTACAACATAGATCTTGCTTATCGATCAGATCGTCTTGACTTGCCGCCACCATTTTGTTTGAAGCAGCTGCAAGTTATATGATAGCTGGAATCTGATTGCTCAGTAGGAAGGACATAGCAGGGAAATAACTCAAAATAGTCACTGGTGGCGCTTTGCTGGAGCAACGAAATACCAGCCTACTTCGACAAGGGTGGAAAATGGATAGTTAACTCCCTTGCATCAGGAAGATATAAATGTCGAAGGCTGCCATCACTTTCACCCCCACACTAATTAGGCCACTACTGTTATGCTGGTCAGGAGTTCTGGGTTTGGTCTGAAGAAAGATGTTTGAATATATACAAACGACCAGTAATTGGTCTGGTATAGTTCACAGACATGGACACACTGGAGGGCTCTACATGAACAGAAAAACAAAGGTACACCACCAAACACAAACAAAACCCATCACTTGGCAACCCATTTGTATAAATAACAACAAGAGTCATCAGAAAGATGACATATCCCCCTGGCAGCTGTCTGTAAAGTAACCACAAGTAAATGTGCAATTCTGTATGTAATGAGTCAAGAGTTGAATGTTCTTTAAGAAGCATACATTGTTTACCAACAAAAGATCCACCATGGTCGCATCCATATGAAAAGGAAAGTAAAACGTGTGTTTCTGTGGGGTTTTGTTATGCAAACAAATGACAAATTACAAGAAACAAGCGTATAGTCAACGAAGTCATCTATATCCCCCACCCATTTTAACACGTTATGGTCCCAAACCAGGTAACTGACCCAACATTTCTCTTACCCATGTCAAAATAGCTGCAATGGAAATTCTAAAATAAACATTTCTAAAACTCCTTAATATCAAATGGCACCTGTTCAGTATGTACTTTATATATGGACATGCAATGTTTGGCAAGGAAATATTTAACAGTTTATTTGTTATACTCCATAAGTGAACCCACCCTATATGAAAACTTAAATCCAACTTGTTGCCAAGGAAACGTAAAAAATAGAAAAATAGATATTTCTAAATAGCAAAAGGCACCAGTTCAGTATGTGCCTGGTAGACATGCAAAGTTTTGTAAGAAAGGATTTAACGTTTTTTGAGTTACGCTCCGGAAACGAAGACCACCGCATTATATGCCGAGGGGATAAAAATACTACAAAAGTAATTTGATACCTGTAAGGACTACATCATGGGGTGAGTGATTGACACTTCATGTTGAATGTTGACAAGGCCAGGGATAGGTTCACCAGCTGTAGATGTGAAGAAACTGACAGGGATAGGGATAGGTTCACCAGCTGTAGATGTGAAGAACTGACAGGGATAGGGATAGGTTCACCAGCTGTAGATGTGAAGAACTGACAGGGATAGGGATAGGTTCACCAGCTGTAGATGTGAAGAACTGACAGGGATAGGGATAGGTTCACCAGCTGTAGATGTGAAGAACTGACAGGGATAGGGGTAGGTTCACCAGCTGTAGATGTGAAGAACTGACAGGGATAGGGATAGGTTCACCAGCTGTAGATGTGAAGAACTGACAGGGATAGGTTCACCAGCTGTAGATGTGAAGAACTGACAGGGATAGGGATAGGTTCACCAGCTGTAGATGTGAAGAACTGACAGGGATAGGGATAGGTTCACCAGCTGTAGATGTGAAGAACTGACAGGGATAGGGATAGGTTCACCAGCTGTAGATGTGAAGAACTGACAGGGATAGGGATAGGTTCACCAGCTGTAGATGTGAAGAACTGACAGGGATAGGTTCACCAGCTGTAGATGTGAAGAACTGACAGGGATAGGGATAGGTTCACCAGCTGTAGATGTGAAGAACTGACAGGGATAGGGATAGGTTCACCAGCTGTAGATGTGAAGAACTGACAGGGATAGGGATAGGTTCACCAGCTGTAGATGTGAAGAACTGACAGGGATAGGTTCACCAGCTGTAGATGTGAAGAACTGACAGGGATAGGGATAGGTTCACCAGCTGTATATGTGAAGAACTGACAAATCTGACTAATAATCTCCATATGGTAAGAGAAGCAGATCTGACCCTGCATAGCTGGTAACACAAACCATGACCATGATAGCATGGCTTTAGCTACATAAATAAGCCTTCTGAAAGCCTACTGTGTTATTTCTGACAAGCTAAAATGTTTGCATCAGGGATGACGAGGAAGCCAAAGCTGTGAGCTGGGATGCTGAGGGTGCTGGCTGAGCTGTGACTGGGGGTCAGTGAGGGCAGCTGCTTGTCCACCAGCTCCAATGTCTTGTTATTCAGGTTTACAAATCTGGAAAGAAAACAACAGAATAAATGCAGTTTTTGAAAAACAGTCAGACAGCAAAAATGTTAGTAAAAGTTTTTAAACTCAAACTCAACCATGATGAAAATATGAAAAATTGTTTCATTGGCAAAGAGTATCAGTTCACCAATAGTTTTATGAAGAAATATTCAATGGATTTTCATTCCAATAAAAAAATGAATCCAAACGTGAATGTGAAGAAATATTGGTGCACACATAAGATTCTTCTCACCACTATATCACTAAACATTTCCATGATCATGGAACGTTTCTTAACAAGATGATTGTTACTTTGACCTGGCGGTAAGACACATGTTTCACCTACTTTGACTTGAGTCCGCCTCCACCACCTGGGGTCAACCAGTACACATGGAGAGTCCTGTCTTGGAACTGGGGTAGAGACAGGGTTGTGTTGGAGCTGTCGATGTTCATGGCGTACACAGTGAGGCTGCCAGGCTTGTAGCCGAAGGTGCTGCTGCAACAGCAGGGTCGGTCAAACCACTCAATCTACCACAGCAACATCCTCTACAACGCCTCAAAGTTGCTTGCTTGGAACAACTTGATCATGATCATCCACAAGCATATCGATAATGATGATAATAATAATAGTAATGACGAAATGTAACTATAGCTTCTTTGAGAGGCGTTTAGAAGTTGGAGTACTAAGTAAGAATAAGATATATCGATAATCAACTTCTTTATTACAATTAGCAGCAATATTTTGGTTCTAACAACGTTAATCACTTGATTGATAATGGTGTTAGAACCTACACGAAAACATCACTCATAAAGTCATAATTGTAACAAGAGTCATCAGAAGATGACAAATTCCCCCTGGTTAATACATGTACCAAGTTTGAATTAAAAAATCTCTCTAAACATAATATGAATGGACAGACAGACCGACAGACAGACCAGATGATTACAAAATGTCCTCGCAATATATGCCGGGGGATAATAAAGAAGTTGTTCATCCATATGCTATCCTTACATAGCAAAGTAACTAGTATTGCATAGTATCCAAGATTACCTTTGGTTTCAGCAATGTCCATAGTCGTTCACAAAGACTATAGATTATTTCTTGCCAGTGGTAAACTCAAAAACTATGTTCTGTCACAAAAACAATTTTCAGTTTTTAATAACTAAATCTTTCAATTCCAAGCTACAAACAAATCAAAGTCATGCTATGGTCCTGCACATCTTAATAAAGTTTCAGCTCTCTTGACCTTGAGGTTTGTGAGGAGGCGATTCTAGTATTCAAATTTTACTCTCATCAACAAATCTGAATCCAACTGAATTGCTACACATCATATGATATCCTGAACCTACTGGGGCTTCACTCAACAGAAACTCTACCTGTTGGTGCTGGTGCAGTGGGCATAGATCCTGAGGCGGTCGCTTGATGAGGTCGTTGTCACATGGAACACCTGCCTCCCCACCAGCCTCTTGTACAGCAGTGTCAACCAGTAGTCCTGAAGACAACACAACAGTCATGAACACAATAACACAACAGTCCTGAACACAACAACACAACAGTCCTGAACACAACACAACAGTCCTGAACACAACAACACAACCTTCCTGAACACAACAACACAACCTTCCTGAACACAACAACACAACAGTTCTAACCACAACATCACAATAGTCCTAACTACAAAACAGTCCTGAACACAACAACCCAACAGTCCTGAATACAACACAACAGTCCTGAACACAATAACACAACATTCCTGAATACAACACAAAAGTCCTGAACACAAGAACCTAACAGCCCTGAACACAACACAACAGTCCTGAACACAACACAACAGACCTGAACACAACAGTCCTGAACACAACAACCCAACAGTCCTGAATACAACACACCAGTCCTGAACACAATAACACAACATTCCTGAATACAACACAAAAGTCCTGAACACAAGAACCTAACAGTCCTGAACACAACACAAGTCCTGAACACAACACAACAGTCCTGAACACAACAACACAACAGTCCTGAACACAACACAACAGACTTGAACACAACAACACAACAGTCCTGAACACAACACAAGTCATGAACACAACACAACAGACCTGAACACAACACAACAGTCCTGAACACAACAGACTTGAACACAACACAACAGGCCTGAACACAACACAACAGTCCTTAACACAACAACACAATAGTCCTAACTACAAAACTGTCCTGAACACAACAACACAACATTCCTGAATACAACACAAAAGTCCTGAACACAAGAACCTAACAGTCCTGAACACAACACAAGTCCTGAACACAACACAACAGACCTGAACACAACACAACAGTCCTGAACACAACAACACAACAGTCCTGAACACAACACAACAGACTTGAACACAACAACACAACAGACCTGAACACAACACAAGTCCTGAACACAACACAACAGACCTGAACACAACACAACAGTCCTGAACACAACAGACTTGAACACAACACAACAGACCTGAACACAACACAACAGTCCTGAACACAACAACACAACAGTCCTCAACACAACAACACAAAAGTCCTGACTACAAAACAGTCCTGAACACAACAACCCAACAGTCCTGAATACAACACAACAGTCCTGAACACAATAACACAACATTCCTGAATACAACACAAAAGTCCTGAACACAAGAACCTAACAGCCCTGAACACAACACAAGTCCTGAACACAACACAACAGACCTGAACACAACACAACAGACTTGAACACAACAACACAAAAATCCTGATCACAACACAAGTCCTGAACACAACACAACAGACCTGAACACAACACAACAGATTTGAACACAACAACACAAGTCCTGAACACAATACAACAGTCCTGAACACAACACAACAGTCTTGAACACAACACAACAGACCTGAACACAACACAACAGTCCTGAACACAACAACCCAACAGTCCTGAATACAACAACACAACAGTCCTGTACACAATAACACAACATTCCTGAATACAACACAAAAGTCCTGAACACAACACAAGTCCTGAACACAACACAAGTCCTGAACACAACAACACAACAGTCCTAAACACTACAACACAACAGTCCTGAACACAACACAAGTCCTGAAGAAAAAAACACAATAGTCCTGAACTCAACACAACAGTCCTCAACACAACAACACAACTGTCCTGATCACAAGTCCTGAACACAACACAACTGTACTGAACACAATAACACAACATTCCTGAATACAACACAAAAGTCCTGAACACAAGAACCTAACAGCCCTGAACACAACACAACAGACTTGAACACAACACAACAGACCTGAACACAACAACACAACAGTCCTGAACACAACAACCCAACAGTCCTAAATACAACACATCAGTCCTGAACACAATAACACAACATTCCTGAATACAACACAAAAGTCCTGAACACAAGAACCTAACAGTCCTGAACACAACACAAGTCATGAACTCAACACAACAGTCCTGAACACAACAACACGACAGTCCTGAACACAACACAACAGACTGGAACACAACAACACAACAGTCCTGAACACAACACAAGTCATGAACACAACACAACAGACCTGAACACAACACAACAGTCCTGAACACAAAAGACTTGAACACAACACAACAGACCTGAACACAACACAACAGTCCTGAACACAACAACACAACAGTCCTCAACACAACAACACAATAGTCCTGACTACAAAACAGTCCTGAACACAACAACCCAACAGTCCTGAATACAACACAATATGTCCTGAACACAATAACACAACATTCCTGAATACAACACAAAAATCCTGAACACAAGAACCTAACAGTCCTGAACACAACACAACAGACCTGAACACAACACAACAGACTTGAACACAACAACACAACAGTCCTGAACACAATACAACAGTCCTGAACACAACACAACAGTCCTGAACACAACACAACAGACCTGAACACAACACAACATTCCTGAACACAACAACCCAACAGTCCTGAATACAACAACACAACAGTACTGTACACAATAACACAACATTCCTGAATACAACACAAAAGTCCTGAACACAAGAACCTAACAGTCCTGAACACAACACAAGTCATGAACACAACAACACAACAGTCCTGAACACAACAACACAACAGTCCTGAACACAACACAAGTCCTGAACACAACACAAGTCCTGAAGAAAAAAAAACAATAGTCCTGAACTCAACACAACAGTCCTCAACACAACAACACAACTGTCCTGATCACAAGTCCTGAAAACAACACAACTGTCCTGAACACAACAAAACAGTCCTGAACACAACAACACAACAGTCCTGAACACAACAACACAACAGTCCTGAACACAACACAACAGTCCAGAACACAAGGCCAGCATGGTGCAGTGTCATTTATAGTGTTGCAAACCAAGAGGAAAGTCTGACCACTGTACACTCTATAGGACTAATCTTGCCAACTACTGCCCCTACACAATAAACACAACGAACATATACATCATTTAAGAAATGTGTTTACTGAGGAAGGTTATTCAAATCTGACTAAAAAACATGTTGCTTAGCTAAACCTAACAACCCATGCTACGTCCCATGTGTTGTCATATAATCTACTGTCTGAAGTCAACAACAGAATGGCTTGAGCCAGTGAGTTGAACAATCCCTCACAACTGCAGAAATGCTGCAAACAGATGTTTCTGGAGAATAGTTTAAACAGGACTAGAAATCAACTCACTGGGTTTGGGTCGAGAGTGTCGAGGTCCAGCAGAGCGTAGTTGCCCTTGTAGAAACTCTGTCTGAAAACTCCCTTCACACCATACAGGGCACTCAGGCCAAGCTTGTCCAGCCACCTGCATTGGAGATGTTGGAATCCACATGAGAACCAAACTTACAAGTGTCATAAGGCATGTTGTTTTTTTATTAATTGGTTTATGCTAGAAAAAATAAATAATTTCTAATTAAGAAGTTTTTTTAACTTCTGCCAAGTCTGAAAACAGTATGTATAAATAATTGTTCAAGATCTCAGCCATCATGATTAATCTTATGTAAACTGACAGCCAAAAGAAACCTTACCACTTTAAAAATGAAATTGTGAAAATATATAAACACAAGTTTAAACTAAATCAATGCAAAACACATTGTCCAAACACAACAAGCTCTACACATCCAAGACATATTCCTTTTGTATAAAATTTGAAAAAATTTAAAAAGAGAAAAATGTGCCACTTGGGCAACGGAAACTGCATGTGACAAAAGGGTATATAAATGATACGGATGGCATGCCACATGCACACCCTGATAGAAGCCACCACAGAAATGCCAAGACTGACACCGGAACAACGCGAGTGGGACCGGGGATGATATGGATGGGAGCCACCCATATCGACATTGCTAGAAATTTTGGTTACTTCCGTGGTTCTGTACTAACCTGATGCAACGAAACATAAGACCCAGGGTAACTACGCCCAACGAAAACCGGTACTTGCGTACTTTGCATCTGAATTGATTCCTGACAGTGACATCATCAGCAACTAATGCCTTAGGGTATAGGGTTAGTTGACAGACATTGGCCAGGCAACTCAGGGCTCAAGGAATTAAGACTTACATACTTTACAGAGGACAGTTATTGACAGTGCAACATCTTCGTCAGAGATTGAGATGGGCCTGGACTGACGAAAGCCGGTTCTGTCTGGGCATAGCTGATGGTAGACAACATATTGAAGGTGAGTTGTGTTTAGGAGATCATGCCATATGGTGGGGGGTGTAATGGCGTGGGGGATGAATTTGGGGGCAGGAGAGAACACCACGGGTCAACGTTAATGGAAATTTGACAGCTCAGAGTTACATGGATGGCATTCTTCGTCCGATTGTCCTACCATTTTTGCAACAGCTGCCACGTGGTGTCCTTTATCAGCATGACAACACCAGACCCCATACAGCCTATATTGTACAGAACTTCCTGGCTGTCAACAATGTCAACGTGTTGCCGTGGCCTGCACGCTCCCCAGACAAATCCCCCATAGAACACCTCAGGGATGTAATGGATCATCATGTTCAACAGTGACCACATCCTCCAGCCAACGGACAAGAACTGATCCAGACCCTCCAAGAAGAATGGTGACGTATCTCACGGGACATCATCAGAAGACTGCCTTTTCCTGTGCGCCGGATTATTTTTGCGTGTCTTGTAGCAGGATGTGGTCGTACATGCTATTAATATGATGTGTCATTAAACTTGAGGGATTGTTGATGTGTGTGGCCTTTGTCCATTACGTTGAAAGCTTGTTTTTGCTACGCAACCCCAGTTCGGGCAATATCGGATGCTGTGTGACTATAAATTTTAAATCTTGATTTCCCTGAGATTTTTTTCAATACATTTTACTTCATGTATCTATCTTTTGTGGTTTTTAAACTGGAGTGATTTAAAACTATGGTAGTTTCTTTGGGCTGTCACCTTACAGTTATGACTGGTTCCTTACTGAAGTGGGGCATGGTTGGCCCAGTCGTCTAAGGCGCCGCGATTTGATGTGCAGATTTGGGCACGCCAGAAACTTATGATTGTGGGTCGAATCCCGGTTTGCCTTGATTATGTTTCTGTGTTTGTAAGCACAATACCTGTGCTCATGTGTTTCACCGAAGTAGTAAACGTCTGAGACCTACATCACTTCGGGCTTTCCTCCCACATTAAGTGAGTGAGTGTGGTTTTACCCCGCTTTTAGCAATATTCCAGCAATATTACAGAAAAGGGCTTCAAACATTGTACATCAATTCTCACATGAATCCTGCCACGTATGCATCTGAGAGACCTTCAGCCCCTCCACCGTATGCTGAGGCTGTCTCTCCAATCCAGACAGGCACCCCAGGGGCATGGGCTTGGGCAGTTGTGATGGCATCAGTCAGATCTGTTTTCAGACTATCCAGGATGGAGGCGTCAATGAAGTCCCCAACATCAGCAGTGCGACCGTCTACATAGTAGCTGCCAACACAACCACAGACAAGTCTGACCATCAAGAACAATACATCCAAACAACATCCAATGTCCTACAGCACATTGTTGCAGTCTACATGTTGTCAACCTATCCAAACAACATATTCTACAGTACATTGTTGCAGTCTACATGTTATCAACCTATCACATCATATGGAGGAGAACGTACTGATGAAATGTTGCCTTGTCCACCACTTTGCCACCACCAGAGGCCAGGAATCTGAAAATGAATTTGAAATGAGTGAAATTTTCACAAACTATCCCTTTCTATTGTTTTGTCTCTATCATGCTTTGCAGAAACATACAATACCATTTCACATGAATGTGTACACAGGTGGCTAGATAAGCTTGTGAGGGGGGTATTACATGGCTTTTAACACTATCCTAGCAACAAGACACCAAGAATGGTCTTCACGTTGTAGGGAATCAATCCCGGACTTCTGCATTACCACTCCACTACCTCACCCCTAGAGTTAGGGATGTATCAGTTAGGACCATTCATCAGCTGATAAACGAGCCCTTCAAAACAGAACTCTGTCAATGTCGAAACACTGAACTGTACTCAGTTCAGCATCAAAACATCTTACATAATCATAACATACCATAAAACATCCATCTAGACAGGCACGACTGTGGAGGTATTACTGACTCACCCTAGCCATCTAGCCAGACATGACAGTGGAGGTATTACTGACCCATTCTAGCCATCTAGCCAGACATGACAGTGGTGGTATTACAGACCCATTCTAGCCATCTAGCCAGACATGACAGTGGTGGTATTACTGACTCACTCTAGCCATCTAGCCAGACATGACAGTGGTGGTATTACAGACCCATTCTAGCCATCTAGCCAGACATGACAGTGGTGGTATTACTGACTCACTCTAGCCATCTAGCCAGACATGACAGTGGAGGTATTACTGACCCATTCTAGCCATCTAGCCAGGCACGACTGTGGTGGTATTACAGACCCATTCTAGCCATCTAGCCAGACATGACAGTGGAGGTATTACAGACCCATTCTAGCCATCTAGCAAGGCACGACTGTGGATGTATTACAGACCCATTCTAGCCATCTAGCCAGACATGACAGTGGAGGTATTACAGACCCATTCTAGCCATCTAGCCAGACATGACTGTGGTGGTATTACTGACCCATTCTAGCCATCTAGCCAGACATGACAGTGGAGGTATTACTGACCCATTCTAGCCATCTAGCAAGGCACGACTGTGGTGGTATTACTGACCCATTCTAGCCATCTAGCCAGGCACGACTGTGGATGTATTACAGACCCATTCTAGCCATCTAGCCAGACATGACAGTGGAGGTATTACTGACCCATTCTAGCCATCTAGCCAGACATGACAGTGGAGGTATTACTGACCCATTCTAGCCATCTAGCAAGGCACGACTGTGGATGTATTACAGACCCATTCTAGCCATCTAGCCAGACATGACAGTGGAGGTATTACTGACCCATTCTAGCCATCTAGCCAGACATGACAGTGGAGGTATTACTGACCCATTCTAGCCATCTAGCCAGACATGACAGTGGTGGTATTACAGACCCATTCTAGCCATCTAGCCAGACATGACAGTGGAGGTATTACTGACCCATTCTAGCCATCTAGCAAGGCACGACTGTGGTGGTATTACAGACCCATTCTAGCCATCTAGCCAGGCACGACTGTGGTGGTATTACAGACCCATTCTAGCCATCTAGCCAGGCACGACTGTGGATGTATTACAGACCCATTCTAGCCATCTAGCAAGGCACGACTGTGGATGTATTACAGACCCATTCTAGCCATCTAGCCAGACATGACAGTGGAGGTATTACTGACCCATTCTAGCCATCTAGCCAGACATGACAGTGGAGGTATTACTGACCCATTCTAGCCATCTAGCCAGACATGACAGTGGTGGTATTACTGACCCATTCTAGCCATCTAGCCAGACATGACAGTGGTGGTATTACAGACCCATTCTAGCCATCTAGCCAGACATGACAGTGGAGGTATTACTGACCCATTCTAGCCATCTAGCAAGGCACGACTGTGGATGTATTACAGACCCATTCTAGCCATCTAGCCAGGCACGACTGTGGAGTTATTACTGACCCATTCTAGCCATCTAGCCAGGCACGACAGTGGAGGTATTACTGACCCATTCTAGCCATCTAGCTAGGCACAACTGTGGTGGTATTACTTACCCGTTCTAGCCATCTAGCCAGACATGACAGTGGAGGTATTACTGACCCATTCTAGCCATCTAGCCAGACATGACAGTGGAGGTATTACTGACCCATTCTAGCCATCTAGCTAGGCACAACTGTGGTGGTATTACAGACCCATTCTAGCCAGACATGACAGTGGAGGTATTACAGACCCATTCTAGCCATCTAGCTAGGCACGACTGTGGTGGTATTACAGACCCATTCTAGCCATCTAGCCAGACATGACAGTGGTGGTATTACAGACCCATTCTAGCCATCTAGCTAGGCACAACTGTGGTGGTATTACAGACCCATTCTAGCCAGACATGACAGTGGAGGTATTACAGACCCATTCTAGCCAGACATGACAGTGGAGGTATTACAGACCCATTCTAGCCATCTAGCTAGGCACGACTGTGGTGGTATTACAGACCCATTCTAGCCATCTAGCTAGGCACAACTGTGGTGGTATTACAGACCCATTCTAGCCATCTAGCTAGGCACGACTGTGGTGGTATTACAGACCCATTCTAGCCATCCAGCCAGGCACGACTGTGGTGGCATTACTGACTCACTCTAGCCATCTAGCCAGGCATGACTGTGGTGGTATTACTGACTCACTCTAGCCATCTAGCCAGGCATGACTGTGGTGGTATTACTGACCCATTCTAGCCATCTAGCAAGGCACGACTGTGGTGGTATTACTTACCCATTCTAGCCATCCAGCCAGGCACGACTGTGGTGGTATTACAGACCCATTCTAGCCATCTAGCCAGGCATGACTGTGGTGGTATTACAGACCCATTCTAGCCATCTAGCCAGGCATGACTGTGGTGGTATTACTGACCCATTCTAGCCAACTAGCCAGGCACGACTGGTGGTATTACAGACCCATTCTAGCCATCTAGCCAGGCATGACTGTGGTGGTATTACAGACCCATTCTAGCCATCTAGCCAGGCATGACTGTGGTGGTGACTTACTCTTCAAAATAAAGCCGTACATTCTTCTTATCGACTTTTGTGACATCTGGCCCCACCAGGAGGGTCGACTGAGAATAGCTGCCCATGATCTGTCTCAGTCGTACAAAGTCTCTTGCCAAATCAGCAGCTGTCACTGTCCGACCAAACACATGATGGAAGGCATTTGGTTCTGGAAAGGAGGGGTAAAAGGACAGATCAGACTCAAGGCGGAGTATTCATTTAAAGCTTTGACTCCACCCTCAAATATATGGCAGTTGAGAACTGCATGATACTACACATTAGGCAACTGGGAAGTTACAAAGAATGGGTCCAGGGTATATATCCTCCTAGAATGGAGATATACTACACAGCATAATGTAGGTCAGTCTCGCTACTGTCAGCTATCATATGCAATCAGTACTATCACATTACACAAATGTTATTGTACCATTTCCAAGTTCAAATCCTGCAAGCTTGTATCCTCTCGACTTGGTATAATTCATCAACAACATGGCATTTGTGGGGTCCCAGGATCCTTGGTCTCGGATCAAAACATTGAGATCAAAGATCAGCTCCCAGCCAACAGCTGCAGAAAACTTGTTGATCAAATCCCAGTCAGTAGCTGAAACCAGATATGTAAAACAATCAGTAAAAACATCACATAATATTTCCAACTTTGTCATTGTAAAATCAACAAAACGTTTTCTCCAAACCAATTATGTTTCAACATGTAAATGACTAGGCTATGTAGATCTTAATGGAATATGCTATAACTCATGATTTTCATGTCATAAAACAATCATTCATTTCTAAACACCAAAAAAAGTGAGCATATTAAGAGAATTTTGGCAATACATGAGAGCCATCTAAAATGTTGAAATACAAATAAGCATCAATGACTGTACACATCAATCTGTCATAGCCTTTCAGTCCTGACTTAGTGGCAAGAAGATACAGAATATTAAATTTGTACTCTTTTATTATTACTGAATACTACTAAGACTTTTCACTACAAACCTGATGTCTTTGAGAAGCATTTAGAAGTTGGAAGAACATGAATATATGACACTTTTTATGTACAGCAACTTCCTTTATCTTTGTCACAATGTTTCAGAGCTATTTCTAGCTCCTTCATCATGATGTCATGTATACACAACATAAGGTGGGATGAATGTACAAAGATAACAATATAATGACAAAGCCAAAGAGAAACATATCATGTAAATCATATATATATATATATATATATGAACTCTATGCAGCCACTCAGTATTCACCTGATGAAGAAGCAAGAACATTGTGACAAAGAATTGTATACAAACCTGACATTGTGAAGTTCTTGTAGTGTTTCTTCAGCAGGAACTCTTGATATTGTTGAGCTGACCATGGTTTGTTTGGGGCTGTCTTTTGAGGATCAAAGGTCAGTAAGTCTGCAGCAGTTCCTCCAAGGCGCAGATAGCATGGCGCCAAACCATGAGCCAGGTTTACCAATTTTTCTGATCTATTCATCAATTTCTAAAAGATTATCGACCTTAAAACTGAAAAAATTGAATTTATACCAATTTCTTTCTTAAAACGTATTCTTATTATACTGGCATGAACAAAACTAAATCTCATTGTATTCTACTACCCATTATATCAATGTATCACATTCCTAGGCCTCAGTCTACCACAAATGCTAACATTTTAAAAATCAAATTAAATTTTGGACTTTTATGCCATGAACAAATCTGCCCTTATATGTTCCATTATGGTAGGATATCCAAGTTCAATACTTCCAGCTCCGTTTAGTTGGTAAAATGTTAACTGACTACAAACAATGTGTCCCTTGGTGCACGTGGATATCAGAAACGCATCTAGATTATCAGGGTTTAGGCTGTTGAGGTTACATTCGTTCATTTGGTATACATATGGTCTCTGGTAGTATATCGTTGACACTTGTGCCCATGCATCATGCAGGTTCACCAAGTGTAATTCACATATGCTTACCCAAAATCGAATTTCTGCCATCCCTCCTGTATGAGATGTGAATCAAGAGTAACGGCAACAAATTTGTCATCGATCACTTGCAGAACTCTGTTGAAATCAACGTTCACCTCGGTAGCAAAAATAGCGTGAATTACATACGTTAATACAATGCACAATAGACTGATATGACATGCGTCCATATTTATGCTGTGGTAGGTTCGGCTAGGAGGATGTCACGTGTTAGTTTTGTGAGTTTTGATTTTATTTTTTTAAAGTTAACGAAACAAGGACGTATTCCATTTGGCAATGTTGGGGGCTTGAGATAAGTTTAGGCCATGACTTATACTCAGCATGTTCAGTAAATGGAGGCAAGAGAATTGTTGTGAACGCTTTCTAAGTTTTACATAAAAATTAAAGTATGGTGTATTTTTCATTCATGAGAAATATCGCTTGTTGGGCCGTATGTACATATATAATATGACTTGTTCACAAACACGCTTGGCCTATACCGGAAGTAAACACTGCAGATCAGGTCACGCCCCCTGGCACAAGAAACATAACTCGTGCAAGACTATGAACATCTGAATCACACATAAAATATCAAATTGATATCAGCCTACTTCTTCAATGACTGAAGAAAGCAGGAAGTATCACAAAAAATGATAGTGGTTTTAACGTCCCTTTAATACGATAGCAATATGATATTGTGATAAGGTTTTAGTTTCGGCATCCTGATACAGTTTAAGCGAGGTTAGCTAAAGGGAAATAACTTTTGGTACCTTTACATATCAATTCTCCTCGAACTGACAGTGGTATATGTAATGCAACTGCGACTATACTGCAGATGTTACTGCTGACCACGTGGAACAGTGTACGTCAAAATAAAGCTCATGAGAAATATTAAGACATCAGTGTTACAATTTAAACAATTTAACGTAATCATGTCTTGTACTTTCATGGCACCTTATAATAATTAATACAATAACATAGTTATAGTTAAAAAAACCTTTATTTTGAAGTATCATCCTCCCGGAGGTTTCTGGACCAGTTACTTTTAATACTTTTTCTATCTAAGTTGACGATAAACCTTATTGATACTTATACTGCTTTTAGTGATGTTACTCCTACAATAAAAATTGGTATTGATGACACTGGTGTTGCTGGTGGAATCCCTACTACTAACACTGTTGTTACTGATGTAAACGCTAATAATAAAACTGTTGTTGGAGATGGTAACCCTAGTACTAATACTGTTGTTAGAGATGGTATCCCTGGTACTAATACTGTTGTTGGAGATGGTAACCCCGGTACTAATACTGTTGTTGCTGATTGAAACCTTCGTACTAATACTGTTCTTAGTGGGGATATCCCTGGTGCTAATACTGTTGTTGAGGACGACAACCCTTATACTAATTTTGATACCTGGGCTTTCCTCCCATGTTAAGGTGACACGTTGTGATATAACTGGAATACTGAACCAAGAGGCATTAAACCCAACTCACTCACTTACCACAGAACTAATAGGTGATGATACTGCTCGATATTCTGATCTATGCTTTGCCGTGACAATCATTCTGTGGTGTGATATGCTGTGCTATCTCTTGCTGTAGTGTAAAGCTATACTATGCTGTGGCGTGATATGCTGTGCTATACCGTACTGTGGTGTGATATGCTGTGCTATACCATGCCGTGGTGTAATTTGCTGTGCTACACTAAACTGTGGTGTGATATGCTATGCTTTATCATACTGTGGTGTGATATGCTATGCTATACCGTACTGTGATATGCTGTGCTATATCATACTGTGGTGTGATATGCTATGCTATACCATAATGTGGCGTGATATGCTGTGCTATACATTGCCGTTGTGTAATTTGCTGTGCTACACTAAACTGTGGTGTGATATGGTATGCTTTATCATACTGTGGTGTGATAGGCTGTGCTATACCATTCTGTGGTGTGATATGCTGTGCTTTATCATACTGTGTTCTGATAAGCTGTGCTACACCATGCTGTGGTGTGATATGCTGTGCTATACCATGCTGTTGTGTAATGTAGTGTGCTATGCCATACTGTGGTGTAGTGTAGTGTGCTATGCCATACTGTGGTGTAATGTAGTGTGCTATGCCATGCTGTGGTGTAATTTAGTGTGCTATGCCATACTGTGGTGTAGTGTAGTGTGCTGTGCCATGCTTTGGTGTAATGTAGTGTGCTATGCCATACTGTGGTGTAATGTAGTGTGCTTTGCCATGCTGTGGTGTAATGTAGTGTGCTGTGTCATGCTGTGGTGTAGTGTAGTGTGCTATGCCATGCTGTGGTGTAATGTAGTGTGCTGTGCCATGCTGTGGTGTAATGTAGTGTGCTATGACATCCTGTGGTGTAATGTAGTGTGCTATGCCATACTGTGGTGTAGTGTAGTGTGCTGTGCCATGCTGTGGTGTAATGTAGTGTGCTATGCCATACTGTGGTGTAATGTAGTGTGCTATGCCATGCTGTGGTGTAATGTAGTGTGCTATGTCATACTGTGGTGTAATGTAGTGGGCTGTGCCATGCTGTGGTGTAATGTAGTGTGCTATGCCATGCTGTGGTGTAATGTAGTGTGCTGTACCATGCTGTGGTGTAATGTAGTGTGCTATGCCATGCTGTGGTGTAGTGTAGTGTGCTATGCAATGCTGTGGTGTAGTGTGCTATGCCATGCTGTGGTGTAGTGTAGTGTGCTATGCCATGCTGTGGTGTAATGTAGTGTGCTATGCCATACTGTGGTGTAATGTAGTGTGCTGTGCCATGCTGTGGTGTAATGTAGTGTGCTATGCCATGCTGTGGTGTAATGTAGTGTGCTGTACCATGCTGTGGTGTAATGTAGTGTGCTATGCCATGCTGTGGTGTAGTGTAGTGTGCTATGCAATGCTGTGGTGTAGTGTGCTATGCCATGCTGTGGTGTAGTGTAGTGTGCTATGCCATGCTGTGGTGTAGTGTAGTGTGCTATGCAATGCTGTGGTGTAATGTAGTGTGCTATGCCATGCTGTGGTGTAGTGTAGTGTGTTATGCCATGCTGTGGTGTAGTGTAGTGTGCTGTGCCATGCTGTGGTGTAGTGTAGTGTGCTATGCCATGCTGTGGTGTAGTGTAGTGTGCTATGCAATGCTGTGGTGTAGTGTAGTGTAGTGTGCTATGCCATGCGGTAGTGTGGTGTGCTGTGCCATACTGTGGTGTAGTGTAGTGTGCTATGCCATGCGGTAGTGTAGTGTGCTATGCAATGCTGTGGTGTAGTGTAGTGTGCTATGTCATGCTGTGGTGTAGTGTAGTGTGCTATGCCATGCTTTGGTGTAATGTAGTGTGCTATGCCATGCGGTAGTGTGGTGTGCTGTGCCATACTGTGGTGTAGTGTAGTGTGCTATGCCATGCGGTAGTGTAGTGTGCTATGCAATGCTGTGGTGTAGTGTAGTGTAGTGTGCTATGCCATGCGGTAGTGTGGTGTGCTGTGCCATACTGTGGTGTAGTGTAGTGTGCTATGCCATGCGGTAGTGTAGTGTGCTATGCAATGCTGTGGTGTAGTGTAGTGTGCTATGTCATGCTGTGGTGTAGTGTAGTGTGCTATGCCATGCTTTGGTGTAATGTAGTGTGCTATGCCATGCTTTGGTGTAATGTAGTGTGCTATGCCATGCGGTAGTGTAGTGTGCTATGTCATGCTGTGGTGTAGTGTAGTGTGCTATGTCATGCTGTGGTGTAGTGTAGTGTGCTATGCCATGCTGTGGTGTAGTGTAGTGTGCTATGCCATGCGGTAGTGTGGTGTGCTGTGCTATGTCACGTGCGGTGGTTTACCCAGGTGTGCTGTGCTGAGTAGGCTCTGAAGCATAATCTAAGCTCACTTTGGCGGTAAAATTGTGTATATAGATGATACAACATGATAACAATTGTTGATTTCACCACCAGACATTCCTGGTGAATATATAGTGTAGACAGCGACCCCTTACGCCTGCAATTGACAGTGTTTATTGCAGTCCATCAGACAAAAGAGAGAAGCTGACATTTTCCATTAAACTGACCGACTGAAAACACACTGACCACTGACACTTACAGATTTATCTAAGTGAGGTGAAAGTCTCGGTGCTCGGACACACCTCGTTTAGCCCAACATAATGGATAAACAAAGCACGCATGCGCATGACACTGATGAATGACTTTATGGGTTTTCCAGGCTGCGGGAAGAGCTGATTCACGCCAGTCGTTCTTTAGCTTTGACAAACATGAAAACATACCGTGAGTACATCAACGACATCATCACTATCATCATCTAGGTTTTATACCACTGTTTCTCTACAAACGAATGTGAATATGTGTTCCAACAACTGTAGTCATAACACTGGCTGTACTGTTGTTCTACTGATGCTGCAACAACAACTACTACTGCTGACGTCTACTTAACCGTCGCTGCTGTTTCTACTGCTGGTACTACACAACTATTGCTGCTTGTACTACTACATCCCTGTTGCTGCTTCTACAGCTGGTACTACACAACTATTGCTGCTTGTACTGCCGGTACTACACAGCTATTGCTGCTTGTACTACTACATCCCTGTTGCTGCTTCTACAGCTGGTACTACACAACTATTGCTGCTTCTACTGCTGGTACTACACAACTATTGCTGCTTCTACTGCTGGAACTACACAACTATTGCTGCTTCTACTGCTGGAACTACACAACTATTGCTGCTTGTACTACTACATCCCTGTTGCTGCTTCTACAGCTGGTACTACACAACTATTGCTGCTTCTACTGCCGGTACTACACAGCTATTGCTGCTTCTACTGCCGGTACTACATAACTATTGCTGCTTGTACTGCCGGTACTACACAGCTATTGCTGCTTGTACTACTACACCCCTGTTGCTGCTTCTACAGCTGGTACTACACAACTATTGCTGCTTCTACTGCTGGTACTACACAACTATTGCTGCTTGTACTACTACATCCCTGTTGCTGCTTCTACAGCTGGTACTACACAACTATTGCTGCTTGTACTACTACATAACTATTGCTGCTTCTACTGCTGGTACTACACAACTATTGCTGCTTGTACTACTACATCCCTGTTGCTGCTTCTACTGCTGGAACTACATAACTATTGCTGCTTCTACTGCTGGTACTACACAGCTATTGCTGCTTCTACTGCTGGTACTACACAGCTATTGCTGCTTCTACTGCTGGTACTACACAACTATTGCTGCTTCTACTGCTGGTACTACTACATCCCTGTTGCTGCTTCTACTGCTGGAACTACATTACTATTGCTGCTTCTACTGCTGGTACTACACAACTATTGCTGCTTGTACTACTACATCCCTGTTGCTGCTTCTACTGCTGGTACTACACAACTATTGCTGCTTCTACTGCTGGTACTACACAACTATTGCTGCTTGTACTACTACATCCCTGTTGCTGCTTATACAGCTGGTACTACACAACTATTGCTGCTTCTACTGCTGGTACTACACAACTATTGCTGCTTCTACTGCTGGTACTACACAACTATTGCT